TGAGAGAAAGATAATTAGAACGGCTGACACGTCTCTCTTTTTATATAGATGACATAAACGGAGAATATTTATTTTAGTTTTGAATCGGATCATTTAAAAGTACAAACTCAAATGATTTAAAAGATATATTGCTTATGGCTGGGTGAATATTATTAGCTGAGTTGTGTTGAAGATTAGAGACGTGCTCCAGAAAAAAAGTTCACGGTGACAGAAAGGCAGAACGCACACCCTGTTTATTTTCTTTATTTTACAAAAGCACAATATTTTTTTTCGATTGTATGTGGGCACATAAAAAAGTAGACATTTAACAGATTATTTTCTCATATTTCATAACTCTATATGAACAGAAATGATGGTAGTACTTTAAGTCTATTTTTCTGCTATGTGAAAAAAAACGAGCAAAACGCGCCGGCGCGTTTCTGGTCCCCAGAGGGTTAAGCCACACTTTGAGTTTGGTTTTAAATATAGAAAATGTGGGGCATTCCCTGACAGTTAGGGGGATACTATTCCATAACTTACAGGCCTTCACGGACAGAGAATTTTGTCCAAAGGCTGTTCTTCTGAAAGGAACCTCACATGCCCCTTTTCCACCAAAGCATTTTGAGAGCCAGTTCGGAGCCGATGCCTACTCGCGCACCAGTTCTTTGTGTTTCGACAGCTAAAGAACCGGTTCTCGGCCAGGAAAATTGGTTCCAAAGCAGCACCAACTCTTTGCTGGACTAGAACTGTTTTTTTACCACGTCATGCTTACGTCGGGGGCTGGGGGCAGGGTTATTGTGACCAATACCACAACGGGAATGGGAAAGCTAAGACGTATGGCAACGTACACAGTGATGTAACGACGTCGTTCGCTGGGCTCTCTAGTCAGTGGAAAAACAAACAGGTTCTGAGAAGGTTCGCAAGTTGAACCAACTTTGAACCAGGCACCAGTTCCGAACCAGTTCTTTTTTGGTGGAAACGAGGTAACAGTCACCTCTAGCGGAGGCCCGTGTCCTGGCACCATTGTGAGTCTTTGGTTTAAAGAAGTCCGACATGGGAGGTGGGGCTAATCCATTAAACACTTTGTAAACAAAACAGGCATATTTAAAATGTTAAAAATTTTCTATGCTTAGTAGATTATGTTTTTGTAAAATATTACAAATATGAAAGGACATTTGCTTTTTAGCAAAGACTTTTAAAGCATTTTTATAGAGTAATTCTATTGATTTGAGTGTGTTCATACCGGTCAAGTCCAACTTGTACAACAATATTCAATATGTGATAAAAAATTGAATGTAAAAACACTTTGGCAGCCCCAAATGGTATAAATTGACGAATTTGTTTAAAATTTCGTAAATTAAATTTTACTGTACTCGATATTCTTTTTAAATGTTTTTTAAAACTTAATGTGGAATCAAGGGTCACACTAAGGTACTTAAATTCCAGGACGATTTCTAATTCTTCTCCTTTTAAAAATACACCAGATTGTTTTATGCCGCGGGACTGTTTAGTGAACATCATACAAACTGTGTTTTTTAGTATTGATTAGCTGACAGGATTTAAAAAGCCATTCATTTACAGGTACCAGAGCGGAGGTCAGGATGTCAGAAGCCTCTTGAACACTTTTCGCACTTGTGTAGATGACTGCGTCATCAGCATACATTTGAAATTCAACATCAACACAAGTGTTTGGAAGGTCATTTATATATAAAGAAAATAATAAGGGCCGAGTATGGGCCCTTGAGGTACACCAACAGGGACATCTAGAAAAGACTATTTGACATTGTTAATATTAACACACTGTTTTCTTGAGTCCAAGTAAGATTTAATCCAATGAATGGCATTTAAAGAAAAGTTAAAATATGTCAATTTAGATAATAAAATATCATGATTCACAGTGTCAAATGCTTTTCTTAGATCTAAAAACACTGCACCGACACAAGTATTATTGTCCAATTTACTTTTTACTTTTTCTACAAACTGTTGGCAAATTCAGTCGAGTAATTGGTATGGAACCCAAATTGCATAGAGTGCAAGGGGGAGTGGCCTTTATTTAGATGTTCATTATGATTTTAGCAACCCACCTCTCAGCAACCTTGGAGACCACTGGAAGGATACTGATTGGTCGGTACTGTAGTTGGCTACATTTAATTTATCACCATATTTGAAGATTGGGGTGACTAAGGCCATTTTCCAGAAGGATGGAACAATTCTCTGTTTGAATGATAAATTGATCATATATGTTATTGGAGCAATTAATGAGTCTTTACATAATTTTAGAGAATACGAATCTAGCCCATAAGCATCCTTTGCTTTGGAACTCATATAATGGTACATGCACTTTTACAAGTTGATTGTACTGAAATGTGTGTTGGCAGTGCCTGTACACAACCATCATAAAATGATAAAAATCCATCCAGCGTTTTTGTTTTAATCTCCTTATATGTTTTCCCCTGTCTCAAATTGACCCGTTCGATTTTGTGACGTCACACGCTCGGAAGCCCCTCCCACGATTGTTGATTGACTGGATCGTTTCAACACAGACCCGCCCTCGCTCGTGAGCCAGCTGTCAATCATAGTCTGCGCGGACCGGCGCGGTCATTGTTGATATGCTGGAGCACTGTCTATGAGCAGAATGGCGTCTAAGCGATTGTGGTGTTCTGTTCTTGGGTGTAATAACGAACACAGTCATTTTAATGTTCCTAAATCCGAACCGCTGAAGACGCAGTGGCTGAGTTTGTTTTCGAAGAGAATATTTCCCACGAGCAACGTCAATGCGTTCATGTTTGCACGAATCATTTCTCAGCAGACTGCTTTATAAAGGAGGGTCAGTATAAAGCTGGATTTGCTAAGCAGCTGCTCCTGAATAAAGGATCGGTACCAGCTATTCGTGTTCCTGCTGAACCTCCAGAAGAACGGAAGTGAGTGTAACATTTTATTAAACTTTATATTAATATTTATATTAATCTTTGCAAATCGCTAGCTGCACGCTTCACAATGAATGCGTCTAAAGTTTACACTCAGGGTACATTACGGCATATTTTCTATGTATGATGTTCTCAATATAATTCATAATCCCACGTTTATACTGAACAGTGCGTTATGGTTATTGTGTTATTGTGTTACAAACGTGTACGCACAGAACAGAGAGGCGGAGTCAGCAAAGCTCATTATCATTTAAAGTCATATGCACTGAAACGGCGTGCTGAAAACAGAGCTGTTTTTGACCAGGTAAAATAACTGTTTTCTTACAATACTCATGAGAATTTTTAATAAAAGTATATTACAAACTTTTAATTTAGACCCTAAAGAATCATACTAGCTTGTACAAAAATGGCATTATATGACCCCTTTAAGTGATCCAATGATGTTATCTACCTCCAGCTCTGTTATTTCACACAATTTGAACACAGGCTTGGAAGAATCAATGGGTCTAGTTATTTTCTCAGGTGGCTCAAACAGTTCAGTTATCTAACAGATTTAGAAAAGTATTGGTTAAATTCATTTGATAGAGAATTTGTTTTTTTTTAGATACATATTAATTAAGATACATATTCATTAAGATATACACCAAAGTGCACCAAATTTGCACACAAACATTTTCGCTGGTGTGATTTACAGCCTCAGCTTTTCCGCCTCGTGAGTGAATAACGTGTTATGCCGTTATACTGTACTTTCAGCTAATAAAATAAAAAATACTGCAATTTTCCTGGCGTTATCTATTTATATTTTAATTTTTTTTATTGTTTGGGTCATTCAGCCCTTCTGGGCCAAAGACAGTGTTGTGATCTGGGTTTAATATTTAAGCTTGTACCTTATCAATTATTATTCCTTAGTAATATTCATCAGGACTTTTACTGATTAACAAAGTTCCAACAGCATCTAACAGACTTCTTAAAGTGCAAGTGACTTGGAAGAATGTCACACTTTTTATTTTAATTTTAAAATGTTTTCCCCTAACTTTGAAATTGTCAGGAATTTGTTGACATTGAAGAGTAGATGAAATATTAATGTTGTTTCAAAATGAACTCTATACATCAGATAGCAAACATCATTAATGTTGACATTACATTTCAGTTGTATTTTGTTTCAACAAAAGTCGTCACCTTTATTTCTACAGTGCTTTATACAATACAGATTGTTTCAAAGCAGCTATGCAGACTACTAATGAAAAATTATGGAAAATAATGATGCAGAGTTCAATTGTAACTGTAAAACAGCTCTAAAAAGACAATAGTGTCATCGATCGAATCATCACATTGTAACATTGATCGAACAATATTATTATTTTTTTATTTCAATGCTGATTCAACAGCAGTGATGTAGTCATAGTGTAACGTTGATTTAGTGACATTACTGTTGATTTTTCATTGAAATCTCATTGTTTCAACATTATTGCGGGTGCAAAATTTAAATAACATCAGTTTGCAACTTTAATTCAATGCAATAGCGTTGACGCATTGAGCAGTGAAATAACCTACTTGTTTTACATCTGCTATCTAGTTAAAATAGCCTATACTATAAGGTTTAATTTAAGCTCTTAACTTATATCGCTTAATGTAATATTTTTACATTTTAATCCAAAAAAGTTTAATGAAGGTTAACTTGTCATATTTTAATCACATTTTGTGTTCTGGACTTTTTAAGGTCAATCTTCATCTCTTAATAACTCTCCAATTTTTTTTTTTATCAATAATACTTCTACCATCTAACTTTAAAATTAAGTCACCATTTATATTTAACAACATCAGTAACATGCAAGAGTTGAAGGAGTCCAGAAGGTAAAATGCAAGGTATTTAAAGTTTGAATCTTTGTCCCAAATCAAACATATTTGGGGAGATATTTTTTTTGTATAATCTCAAAAAAAGAGCAGATTTTATCTTGGTTGTCTTGTATCTAATCTATGAAGGTTAGATAGTTGAATAGAGATTTGTTTCCGCCAGTAGAGGCGCTCGAGCAACCGAAGCAATGACACACACCCGAGTGTGTGAGGAGGAGAAGAAGAGAAGTGAGCGAGGGAAGGAAACATAAACATGAGAGAAGTGAAACACAGCCATTCATTCTGCTGTAAACCTGCTGTGTTTCAGACGGTGAGTATATTCATTTGATCATTTATTAGGAGAAATCTAAATCCAAACGACGAAGCGAGTCAGTTCATTTAATGAATCACTCAGAAATGAATCGAAATGAACCGACTGATGTTGTAGATTACTCGTGAAACGTAAACTCGTTGCTGACTGACTGGTTTTTCCCCTTTTTTTTTTTTTAAGATTATGAGTTGTGTTTTCATTATATGTCATTAGCAAAAATGCAACCATGTAAGTTTTTAATGATGAATCTAATGCCAACATTAACATCAGCTAGAGGAGTTAGAAGTTAAAGTTAGTAAAAAATTGAATTGTTTCTTAACATTTAACGAAACAAAAGCTGTATGAGCTGTGGAAAATTATAAGTGATCTAGGAGCTTAACAGCTTTTTACTGCGAATGCCATTAAAAACAGAGTATGTCTCTTCCTCACAGCCTCTTTCATACTGCCGTGGCCCCGCTCTGAATAAGGTCTATTCACACAAACACAACGTTAAGGCCTGTACACACCGGGACGAATATCGGCTCGCGTTATTCGTCAGCGTTTTTCAACGCGTTTTTTGTGTTCACACCCAAGCGATTTTCGCTGACGATGAGCCGAGTGAACACGCAAATTCATTCCCTGACATTAGATGGCGCTTAATGTAAAACAGAAATACCCCGGTCCACAAAGTGGCGCTGCGCAACTACGCTTCTGACACTCGCTTGTCACTCAGAAGAAGAGAGCAAGTTTGTCGCGTTTGTTATATGGTTCTTTATTGTCGTTGGTGTCTCTTTATAAAGACACCAACAAGACCAGCAGCTCTACTCATCTAGCCTTACATCTTCCTCGTCTTATTTCTTCCCGGCAGAGTGTAGACGCTGTATATCTTCTTCGCCATTACGTATGTGTGCTCGGCAAGACCGTTTTGTGTTTGAGCGCCCCCAAGTTGTGTTTTACTGTAACTTCAGAAGCTCCAGACACGTGAGCAAAAGCGCCAATCTCATTGGTCGGATAGTTTTTGACGCGGCGCGTCAAACCAAAAAAACGAACCCGAGGCGTTTTTAAAAAAATGACGCTTTTACGCGTGGCGTTTTACGCGTTGGTGTGAACACTCACATTGGCGCCCTTTGTTTAGTCACGAGGCGTTAAACGTCGGCGAATAACGCGCGCGAAATTCGTCCCGGTGTGAACAGGCCTTTAGTTTTTGGGTTGTAGAAACCAAACGTTCCTTTAACATTTCTCTACCCTCAGTTCATCATGTTTATTATTACATATTTGTTGCTACATCTTTAATAATAAATAGAACCATATTATATGGACTCAGTATTAAACAAACCATATCTTGTTTTTATTTATTGTTTAAATAATAAAAAATTATCCGAGCACATTTCAACCATCATATGGAACTAAGATTAAATTAAATTTGTCCATTAATATGTAAGATTGACTAGATTTCAGAGGTACCCAGATTTTACATTTCTTCAGCACCAAATAACTATGAATAGCTTCATCACAGGTTTGTAAAATAGGATATTTATTCATAGACATTAAAAAATGACTTCAATTTTTGTACATTTGTTTCTTACCAGTGAATTTAGACATCTTTTGGTCTTTAAACATAAAATTCTCGATTAACATCATGTTCTCTTCAATTAGGTGTTGCAAATCTCTCCATAATAATATTGAGCACGTTTATGCACACCAGTACGCGGATAACTCACAAAAATCATCTTATTGAAATAATCTGTTGTCCGGATTTACATGCAAACCAATAATCCGAAATCAGGTTATTTCCTGGTAGTGATGTCACGGTCGAAACCTAATAATTTGCGTGTCTGACTATTTACGAGTAGGCTATTTCATTTATGTCATGTCGGTTGTGATGTTAAATAAAATATTAAAAACTGAAGAGTAGTGTAGAATGTCAGCGGGAAACTTAAAAACGTAACAAAGAGAGCGCTAAGAAACGTAAGAAAACGTTGTGAATTCTTTAGGCTTACTTGCTGGTTTCAGCACATTTTTACGGGAATAGAGCGCAACCACAACAGTAGTTACACATTCTGAATAGCACATAACTTTAAGTTCACTTATCCATTTGTGTCATTTTGTGCAGATATAAGTTCTAATTAGGGATGGCGAAAACTAAAAAAATTCTTGACCGACCACCGAGCCTCATTAACCGGTTGAAACCGGTTAACCGATTAGTTTAAAATATGCCATTTCGAGCCGCGCCTGCAATTTCGCAACTCTGTCGCTCACGTCACTTTAAAAGAAAAAAAACCTACAGCGCGAAAGTAACGAGTCCCGCAAACGCAGCGCCGAGCTTGTATGTAATCGGAGGACCAATGGCTCCTTTCGAAGTGGTTTGGGTACAAGGTGATCGCGTTGAAAATAAAGGCGTCAGTCAAACGTTAGAAGCTCATTTGAAACATTGCCGCGGCTGAGGCTCATTTAAGAAAATGACAGCTCCGAAGAGCGGCTTTAGTTTGAGGTAGTGCTTACAATAATAAAGAAAGATGATGATCATCGCCTTATCTGTTACCACTGAAATGTAGATGTAATATATTTCCAAATCTAAGCCCATCTTATGTGGAATGTTGCCTAATAGACTGCAACACGATAAACCCAATGGATAAAACAGGCACCTTCATAATGCGTAAAAAGACGCACCGGCCAAGGTAGGTCTAACTCACTGTGTGCCTTCTAATAACGGACAACTCTTTTGTATAATTAATATTTTTATTTTTATTCTTCAAAAAGACAAGTGTCAACTTCTGTTAAGGACAACATCTCATAAACAATAACAGACAATGGCCAACATGTCCTACAGCTATTCTAATAATAACATTAAAACGAAAAATTATTTTAATCTATGAATGAGAATAGCCTACTGTATAGCCAACAAATAGCTCACAGACAGGTGTTAGGCCACCGCCTAATTATTAAAACATAACACAACGGTTTTTCTTTATTGAAATTTCGTTTTTCTTTCATTAAATTTCGTTTTTCTTTATTGAAATTTCGTTTTTCTTTATTGAAATTTCGTTTTTATTTATTGAAATCTACTCTTTACTGTGACAGTAATTTGTTAGTCAGAAAAAATATTAGACTACTTTATTAAAAGTAGCCTATTGCTTAAGTTAACAGACCTGCGCCAGAACAGCGTGCGAGCGGGAAGCGGCGCGCCTCGCGGTCAGGGCTTTACGCTCCGAGAACGCATTATAGTGATATAAAACACATGTTTTATAGAGAACTGTTGACACATGTTTTATATCACTAGTGCAGTGTCAGTTATCGGAGCATATAAGCCCTACCCGCGAGGCGCCGCTTCCAGCGCGCAAGCTGTTCTGTAGTTTATAAAAAGTTTATTAATTCTGAACGTGCCGAGTCTCGCGTGTCTATCTATTGCACCAAATGCGACACTGCACTCCCTTGTGAAGTCGATTGGATAAACGTTCTCGAAATAATCAAAATGCAAACACACAGACAGACATGGGCTTGCGGGTGTCGCGTTTTCAGATGATACATCATAGATGATGTGACTGTAAGCACTGTATCACACAAGTTGCAACTTACAACTATGTCATGTTTTTTTTGGGGAAATGGTCCCACACACTACTTTTCTTTGCACGCTTCATCCTGTCGTCTGCCCTGGCTCTAACCTCGAGTGTTTTAGCCTGTAGGCTTTACTTTTCGCAAACCTTGTGAGCGCGCGAACCCAAACGCTGTGACCTCGCGCCAAATATTTTTTATTGGTTTATTAAGTACAAACAGGCGAGTTATGAAAAATTGAGTGTGAGGGATTTGTTCACTTCACACAAAAATGAAAGTGGAATGAGATTGCTAACTGTAGTAGCGTTTAGTCTACTGTAATAGCCTAATTTAGAGATCTTTTTTTTTTTTTACCGACTACCGAGAACTTTGATCGGTTAACGTTGATACGGTCAACCATCGGTTAAACGGTCATCGGTTAACATCCCTAGTTCTAATATAATGTTTATGTTGTATAAATATCATTCATTTCATTATTGTCAGTGCATAGGCTATTCCATTTTATTTATACATGGCACATGCATTTTGATTCTTTACACGCAAGTAATGTTGTCTAATGACTTGTTTGCATTGTTTAGGCATTGTTTAATTTAGGTCACACTCTCACACCACATGGACTTTTGTTGTCAGTCAATACCATTTCCCCATAGTTTGTTGTCATGGACACTCAGCTGTTTCATCTGTGAACCTGTCAATCACTTCAGTTCAGTTTTGCACTCTTTCAAAAACTCCTGTTGTAATCAAAGCACAATGAATCTCTTTTTTGTATTGAGTCTTCACTGTTTGTTATAATGAAAGGATTAGTGAGCGATCAGACCTCAGTGAGCTCGCACTGAAAGAAAACTATGGCAATTTGGGTGGAGGGGATCCTGACTAAAATAAACACCTCTTATTGGCCACTGCATTCATATGCTCAACAGACTTCTCTATGATTGGCTAGAATGTTAAACGCTGCAACTATTTACGTTGCAAATGTTATGTTTTACACTCTGTTCAGAGCACAAACAAGAATACGCACAGGACTCTTTAATGCAGGTAAAATCAGCGGGTATCTAATTAAGTGTCACCCACCCCCAACTAATACCCCTGTCAGATGCCCCTGGACATAGGTTATGCTCATCTTTGGTAGCTCCTTTGAAGGCATCTTGAGTAAAATAGCTTTATATTTAATAGCACTACAAAGGATCGGAAGCAGTAACGATGCAACCTGTTCAACAGAACACGGCAGTTTGTTTTGCATAACCCCCAATCCCATCTCCTATAGGTGAAGAAGACAGCAGAAGGAATTACTCCAGGAGATACAACTGACATATTATTATAAAGATGGAGTTTGAGGAAGAACCCTGCAGAATGAGAGATGGCGATTCAGAGGAACAAACAGGTTGGTGCTCCCTTTTGAAGTGGAACACGGTGTCCTTGGATTGACGCTATGGGGAAAGTCATCAGTGTATCCGGTGTCTGAAGCATGTGTGAACACACTCCAATTTTTTTGGCTAACAAAAGTCATTAGAGGAAGTATAAGAGGGTGCCCGTAATACACGTCATCAACTCTTATTGTCTTCCACTTGTTCGTATGCGCGTGTAAGACAAACACTCTGGTGGAGTGCATCCGACTCACAAGGAAGCTGGATATCCTCATCATGATGCATTCGTGGTAAGGCAACATGACATCATGACTTTGCGTAAACATAGACGCCACTTTCAAGTCAAGTGGCGTGTTATCTATACGCATTTTGAGCTATCCGCGTGTATGTCCACGCCGAAACGAACCGTCATCTTTTGCGTGTATGTCTACGCCATTAAACCTCCGAGTGATTCCGCGTGTATGTGCACGCCGTTAAAAGTCCGAGCGAAACGAAGCAAAATGTAGATCTACATCTGTGGAGCGATATTTTTTTTCCTAGGATGGTAGGGAAAGACTCATAAATGGTATTAAACCTATTGACGGGTAGGTTTAGGGACGGGGTTGGGGTTGGGGTAGGTCATATATTTATATATACAGTAATGTAATTAAGTCAACGGCGTTGATAAACACGCTAAAAAGCGATTATGCGTGTTGATAGCACGCCAAAAATGGAAATACGAATTGGCGTGTCATACATACGCCATTTCATGAGATCAGTCTGGAGCTTTGTTCTTCTTTAGATTACCATCCCTCGGGAGGAATCAGTGTTTGCTTTAGCACGCTCGGCGCTCAAGGAAGTTGGAGGCACTCATAGCAATGCACTGATGATAGCAGACTCTGTTCTCGCTTGACTCTCGATAGTGAGATAATCTAGCGTTTGAATGGAGCGCGTTCAGCTCTCAAGTTGAATGCATTCTTTGTGATGCCGTTACTGTGAGAAGCTCCACCCATGGTTATTAGGGTTCCTAATCTCATTGATTAATGTGGAATGTCTAATTTTAAAGAGCATATTGCAGGTAAAAAAAAAATCTAAATTAATATATAACCTTGTATGAAAATACCATATGAAAAGTTAATGCAGGATATCTAATGTTTTAAAACGACATAAGGGCACTAATTTAGTAGATAAAGTGAGCGTTTCTTGGACTGCTCGTAAAAACGGCTTTTTTTTTTCAAAATCGCGTCATTTTACGTCCCGTCAGGGAGCCTCAGCCTCAGCTCAGTGCAGAGTAGGCCGGTGTTCAGTGAGAGCGGCCGTGAGTCAGTGTGTTTTCGGTAGTTTTTGTATTTTAATTTATCATCGTCATGGTAAATTATTGTGTGTGGAGGTTGCAAAAACTCCGGCCTGTCAGGACATCGAGTCCACAGGTTTCCATAACAAGAGAAAAGGGACGGTGTTGTATATCTTTCGTGCCTGGTGCGGTTTGTGCAGGTGAAGAGACGGGATTTCTCTTCCGCATCGGCTTCGAGAAACGCGGTCGTGTGTAGCTTTCACTTCAGATCGTGTGTAGCGTTCACTTCAGATCGGAGGATTATCATCCCGGCGATATGATGGAGTTCAACATGGGATGCCGAAGCAAAAATATTGATCGTCTAATACTGTACCAATGGCATGAAATAGTGTGATATAGGTAGTCATTCCCTAAATATAGGCAACTTGTAATTGAAAAACAAAATTACTCAGGTTGTTTAAATATTCAAATCTTTAATTTTCTGTTTATGTTATAACCCAGGTGAAAAATATGTATTAAAAATATACTTGGGTATGTTGTTAGTACAATAGAAATATACTCAAGTATAGTTTTTATACATTTAATAGTATAAATCTACCCTAAAAATACTAATGTCTGCTGGCCTGATATACGATGGTAATAATCTGTACAATATTGTGAACACAGTGTATATCGTTAGCGAACGTGTATCTATAAGCACGTCTCTCACCAAGACACCTGTCCTGTTCTCCACTGGTTCTCCTCACAGTACAACTCATGGTGTCTCTGACCGTTCTGTCTGACATTAGTCCTGGCCTGTCCCTGCTCTCTTGGCAGCATAGCAGGCTCATAACTGTATGGCTGTGGTCCGTCATACGAGTAAGTACTTCCTCAGCGTCCGAAATGTCATTGCGATCCATTGTTTTCCTGTTGTTTGAATCAACCGCTCTCCCGCCCGTTATGTCACGCCCGCCACGCCCATTTTCAGACGCGGAAGTAAAATTTTCTCACAAAAACGACTCCAGAAGCTTCTGTAGCGTATTTATAAGTATATTTTAAAGAAAATCTAGTTCCTACATTATTTTTCTATACATTGACTCGTTGGGTCCTCTAACCTGCAATATGCCCTTTAAGGAATAAGATGCAGAGAGTGTTGAAGTGGATGTTATTAATAAATCTGCTCCCTCTGCTGTCCACACACTGGTGAGTGCCACAAAGCACATGGCCAATGAAATTGGCCGTTTAATGGAGATGGAAAAACACAGAGATCGGGTCCAAAACTTCAATGAGTGCCTCGGGCACAGGTCGGGTTCGGTATTAGTGGCCTCGTGTCTCAGGTAATTTAAAATACATGAGCTTTTTCCGAATGGACCCGAGAAGACCCAAATTCTTTTAAACTATGTCGGGCATTTAACACAATTTACACAGTGTACTTGAACGTTCGTGTTTAGTGCATGTTTGAGAAACACATGTAGAAAAGGAACAAAGGTTTGTAACATCGCGCACAGAAATAAATCTTATGGCCATGAGATCATCAGGAAAAGCCGCTTGTTTCATGACGCTGCGTGTTCTTGCAGGGCTTTTCGTTTTTGTGTGCAGAAGCCCTTCGCTGGAGATGAGGTAAATAGCGCCGCCGCTGCAGACAACAACAACGAATACATGATTTATTAGGCTATCGATTACAATTTTATCGAGCTATCACATTTATTTCTCCAATTCACTGGTCACAATTGAAAGCCAAACTCAAAAATAACTTTTGTCCATCTGGCAGGCAATTATATAAAGTAATAATGAATAAGTAGCCAAAAAAAAAATAATAATAATGGAGTAGCGGCCAAATCAGTCAGCAGGACACCGGGATCTTCCTGACTGACTGCGGGGCTGCAGGCTGTGCACACGTCAATGCCGTTTTTCGTTCGGGTCCAGTCGGGTTTGAAAATAAATGCTGTCTGGTTAGGCTCGGGTCTAATTTTATCAGGTCTGTCTTTGGTCAGGTTTTTCTTAAAAAATAAAATAAAAAAAAGTTTATGCACGTCTGGTTGGGGTAAGAAGAGATTCCGGTCGGGTACAGATTTCAGGAACCGAGAAAACCTCTACCCTGAAGTATGTTTTCCCAGGGCTGAGGTTATATTTTCCACTATGTTAGTGTTTAAAGTAAAATTGTACGCTCCCCAATGGATAGTCTTATTGTTTGGGAGTTCCCCCATTAGGGTTGATGCAGGGTGAATGGAGTATGTAGAGGAAGTGGTTATGGCCAAGGTTGCAGTCAAACATTTTCTCCCGGTGGCAATCATTCCCTAATGCTGCGTTCACACCAGACGCAAATAGAGCGTCAAATTCGCGTCTAGTTGGACGCTTGAACATTTTGAATCCATTCGTGCGTCCAAAGCGAAATTGACTCGCGTAAAAAGCGAGCTTTTTAAAGGGTTAGTTCACCCAAAAATGAAAATTCTGTCAGTATTTACTCACCTTCATGTTGTTCCAACCCCGTAAGACCTTCATTCATCTTCGGAACACGAATTAAGATATTTTTGATGAAATCTGAGAGCTGGATCACTCCTCCATACTAGTCCATAGGCTTCTTCAGGGATTGAACTTGCCGGCCTCGAAAAGTTATTAAAGACATCGTTAAAATTAGGGATGCACGATATATCGACCACATATCGATATCGGCCGATAAATGATCTTTTTTGATGTTATCGTTATCGGTCCGATAAGAAAATTGGGCAAGTGCTAGACGGTTGTCTGTTTGCGAGATGGCTGATGTTGATCGAGCATTCATCGAGAGTCCTTGCTCTGTATTTACTCTGGAGAGCAGAACAGCGAGGGATCATCGTCGCCGTAGTTGGGTCCACCAGATCCTCCGGAGGTGTACCCAATTTGGTGAGTTTCACCACTCGCTCCAGGAGCTGCGTCTGGATGACGGCCGCTTTCAGTGGTACTTCCGCCTGTCCCGAGCCCAGTTTGATGACCTGTTGTCCCGCATCGGAGCGAGGATCACCCTCACCCACCTAATCTGTTATTTATTTTTGTTTTGATGATAAATTGAACCAGCCTCCAAAAGTGATTAACCTGTCCTGTGATTTTTTTTTCTCTCTCACACAACACTAGTGCATAAGAACATAATTTGTGTCTGGACAAAGTATGTTGGTTGTCTGTCTTTACATTAGAAAAATAATGTTTCAAATAATCTAGATTAGAAATGAAGAGTTCAGATGCAAAAGCCTCTAAATGCCATCTGAAATTTTCTTCTAAAATGATCATTTTTGTCAAGCTCGTATATTTAAGTTCAATAATTTCACTTAAATGGCAAGAAAAATTACCCATTAATTGTCGTTTAAGTGAAATTACTTAATTTAAATATACGAGCTTGATAAAAATTATCATTTTGGAAGAAAATGTCAGATGGCATTTAGAGGCTTTTGCATCTGAACTCTTCATATGGGAAAAATAGCATTCAATACAAAATGAATATGTCTCATATATTGAAATCAAGTTTTTATGTGATAAAATATTTGCTTTGTTGTGCATTAGAACCACACATTGTCATATTACAAAATAATTTATTGAGGCCAAACATATAAAATAATCTATTGAGGCCAAACATATAAAATAACATAAACTGAAAAGCGGGCCTGTCCCTGTTTATCACGTCACTTCACCACGTGACAGCAGCAAGCAGGCTCCTGATTGGTTAACGCGGCGCGAATTGACGCAAAAAGTTCACATTTTTCAACTTGGGCGTCAAACGTGTGAATGCACCAAATAAAATAATTTGCGCGTATTGCGCAAGACCCTCAATTCGCGTGAAAGAGGCAAATTTGCGTCTACAGCGCCGCGCTAAACGCCTCATTCGCGCCGCAGGAACTCTAGATGCGCGTAAACGAGTCTTTACATTGACTTAACATTGAAATCACTCGCGCCAGATGCTCTATTCGCATTTGGTGTGAACGCACCATAAGAGCTGTGTCAAGTGGAAAGAGGCTCTCACAGCTAAGCCATTTTATTCCTTAGAGCTCTGCTTTTAGGGCTAGAATCGCCCACAAGGGAGGGAGGGATGTTATATAGGCCAGGACCTCCCTTGCTATGAAGGCATAGAAGCTGGAATATTTTCTATATGTATGGGAGATAATAAGTTAGGGGATGCTACCACTAGATGTGCTATGTACCTCTTTTCATGGATGCGCCCTGTGTTGATGCTTGGACTCCGGCTAAAGTATTCTGTTGAGTCGATGTATGCTATACCCACTATGCTTGTGCATATTCTCACCTAGTGAGGCAGGCATTTCGGCAGCAGGGCGGAGTGGGAATTTTTTCCCCATTGCATCAATTCAAGATGCTATGTTGCAGTGTTGAGTTCCACTTCGAAAGGGAACGTCTCAGGTTACGACTTTAACCATGGTTCCCTGAGAAGGGGAATGAGAGATTCTCACTGCCATCCCATTGGGCCGGCCTGCATGTCTCCTTCAGACAAAAAAAAGTTGATAACGTGTATTATGGGCACCATTTCTTTGCTAATGATGTTATGGACTGTTGCCAGGAAATGAAGTTGGAGTGTGTTCACGTGCTTCAGACACCAGTCAAGCTGATGACTTTCCCCACAGCGTCAATCAAAGTTGCAGTGTCTCCTTCCCCTTCTCAGGGAAACATGGTTAGGGTCATAACCCGAGACGGGTTCCTTAATACTCTTTAATGACTGCTGAGGAACATTAGATGAAAACTGACTATAAAAAAAACTTTTAAAAATGTAACTTGTTCAGCTACATTTCCTTTTTCACATTTGTCCTCCTTTATTTTGAATTGTGGGAATTTAATATGTTGATTTTTAGACTCGATGGAAGTGTCTGGAGACAAACACCATCGGATTCAAAAACCTCGTCATTTAAAGAATGAAGATGGAAATGCAGTTGTTTCAAAGACTGAAGAGAATGTCACACAAAAACTAGCTGGAAAATCTGGAAATCCAATCGTTTCAAAGACTGGAGAGGATGTCACACAAAAACAATCTGGAAAATCTGGAAATCCAGTCGTTTCAAAGACTGAAGAGGATGTCACACAAAAACAAGCTGGAAAATCTGGACTCAAGGCATTTTTCACCTGCACAGAGTGTGTAAAATGTTACATGCATAAATCAGACCTTAAGCGACACATGAGAATTCACACGGGAGAGAATCTGTTCACATGCACTCAGTGTGGAAAGAGTTTCATACATAAAAGACACCTAAATGAGCACACGAGAGTTCACACTGGAGAAAGACCGTTCACATGCACTCAGTGTGGAAAGAGTTTCAAGCGCAAAAGCGTTCTCACCTGTCATCTGCGCTCTCACACTGGAGTGAAGTCTTTCAGCTGTGATCAGTGTGATAAAACATTTGCTTTGGCATCTAGCTTAAAAGCACACCTTAAAGTTCATGTAGATGTGAAGCCACACACTTGTTCTTTTTGTGGGAAGAGTTTTTTAGAATTGCACTCTTTAAAACAGCATGAGCGTGTACATACTGGTGAAAGACCTCATATGTGCTTTGAATGTGGGAAGACCTACACTACATCCAGTGCTTTAAAATCACACCAGAGAATTCATACTGGAGAGAAACCATACGAGTGCTCACACTGTGGAAAGAGTTTCTCTTACTCCAAATCCTTGAAAGATCATGAGAGAGTTCATACTGGAGAGAAGCCGCACCAGTGCTCTTCATGTGGGAAGAGTTTCAACCAAATATCTCATCTACAGACTCATAAGAAAAAGCATTGCCCGAAGTTGCCTCAATGAGCAAATGACCATGTTCAGATCCATTACTCACAAATAATACACTCACAAGTAAATCATTTAACATTCAGATTAAATGTGCACTGTGGAACCTTTTTGTTCAAATTTAAATAACGAGTCAATATACATCAATCCTTCTTTCAAGATGGCGAGAACTGAGGGATTTAAAATGTTGTAAAAGTGTCGCGGAACAGGCGAGTAAAGGCTGTTGCACACTGAGTCCGAAATTTTCGTATGAATTTTTTCGTATTTGTGATTCGGTGGCTCTGAATTGTCAAAACACCATTCAAACTGCTTGCTACAGATGCGAAAAACGCAGAAAATCAAACCTAATTCGTTTTTTTTTTATGACGGACGAAAGTTTCGGAGGCAGTGTCCAAGCATGATTGACATAACGTGTGGTCGTATTTATTTTTTAACGCGCGAAAATTTCGAACGCGAATTTCGGACTCTGTGTGCAAGGGCCTTAAGGTATTTCTTTGAACCAGTGTTTCCGCTACATTCATTCTGTGGTAGCGGGTCGCCACACAAAAAATCCTCCCCACCGCGGCTGCAGCTTCTCAGTGACATCCGATATTGTGCGCACTATTCTGTGTTATAGTCAAGCCCCACTAAATGCATAAAACATTGTAAAGCACCATAAGGTTTTTGTGCACTGTATTCCAAGGTTTCTGAAGCCATTCGATAGCTTAATGTGAGGTACTAATGAATATTTAAGTTGTTAAGTTAAAGTTAATGGAAGTGTATCTCTCCTCATTCATTCTCCATTCAGCATTCAAACAGCGCGTGTACGGGTACGACACGATGAAGCTCTCACTCCAAGATCAATGTTCCTGTTTTTATACTTTATTTGTAGAAAAAGGTCTATGGTTTTGCATAAAAGTACTTTATCTTGCTGGAGTTTATTTCTGTTTCTAAATTATGAGTCTTTCTCCCGGGTGTCTGTTAGATCACATTGGACTAGAGAGGACTATGAATTGTTCTTCACGCGCACAGTAAATTAAATTTACAACTGTTAAAAGAAAAGGCTCAATAAACTGTCATAGATATGATACACTAAGCATCAATATATCTTCCCCTTGTCTTCTGCATTTTTCAATGCGAAGCGCTGCACGCAATGACTCCATGTTCAATGGGAATCACCCATGGGCGATGGAAATAGGCCTGACACCACAGCTGGAAAAAATCCTAGAGGAAACACTGATTGAACAGATAAATTGACATATGTAGCTCTCTAACAGAGTTGATTGTAATCATTTCATTATGGTTAACGTAGCGCTATGCTGGAATTTATTTTCAAGGAAGTAACGTGTCTGGGTAAGGCTACAGTAACGTCTTGAGCTACTCAGCTTGAGATCCTTTTCTTCTAAGCTGGTTATATCTCTTAAGGCTAGTAGTCAATGTTTTATGAGCAATTAGATTACCATATTAATTTGCACAGTCACATTGAGCCAAATCACCAAAACAGTGGTATTAACAATCCCTCTTCTTGTATTATACTGTATAATGAAATGGAAATGTGTCTTGTGTGGATGTTCTGTTCCAGTGAAGTCCTGACAAAACTCAGCCACAAAGGGAAAATACATTATATGTTTTTGCAATTGTGTTTGCAGGGGTTGTTTATTATTATCGGCATGCGACCATATTAAAGGAATAGTCTCCAGGAGAATTCAACAGGTGAGAAGAGTCCTTATGAAAATGATGATTCACCTGTGACCCTTACTAAAGTTTCCATACCATACAACAAAGCTTTTTTTTCTGGATAGTTTTATTTTACATGATTTTCTAATTGTAGTGCTGTGAATAATGCTAAAGTCTTAAGTGACGCACATAACTGGAGTCTTAAAGTTAATTCTTTGAATTTCAAACTATTCCTTTGTCTCTATACTTTGTGCACATTCACACGCTTAATCAATCTCTGATCAACCTTCATCGACATTCTTCCAGCTTCTCTCAGAACTGCTGTGAAATTGATAGAATTGGTTGAAATTTTGTGGTGATAGCATTTGTAACTAAGATAGCTTTTTCGTTTAGCCGAGCATCCAAAAACCTCTCCAAACCAATGTTTTTGGTTTGTCATTTTATTGAACATAACACCTACGCATATGAACAGAAACCCCAATAAATCACAAAATACTTCTAATTATAAAAAATGGAATTGATGTTATTTATAAAAAAAAAAAAAAAATACACAGCCATGCTGGCTTTTACATTTTACTTGCCAAGTGTTCAATAAAACTCTCCAACTGATTCAATTCATGTGGGGGGTTTTTCTTGGTGAAAAACAACTATTTATACACACAAACACCACAATGAAACAAACATTATTGCAAATCAGATACATAACTTCATAACTATAAAAAACAACAATTATTTATGAAATGCTGAACAGTGTGAAACATGATGCACTATGAACGTTTATAATTCTTTGTGTATACTAGCATCACAGAGTGTTATCACGTTTTCTTTTGTCAAAAACTCTATAAGCAACATCAAAAACAGTTGGGCTCAATATTTCTTCTAGTTTTTTGAGCTTGTGTGCCAGTCCTGGAAAGCAAAGTGCCACTTTACACTTTGTGCAGGAAACTTGGTGTTTTATTGAGGCACCTCACACACCTTTTCCTTCGTGAGCTTCTCCTGGAATGCTTTCTGAAACGCTTGGCCTTCATTTGCTCTTTATGCAGAATGAATGCATTAACAATTGCAATGTCAAAGAGATGCTGAAACAGCTTCTTTTAGCACTTCCGGGTCTTATGTAGCACATTATAGGACCCGATCAGTGCATCAGACAGATCGACTCCTCCCATGTACTTGTTGTGCTGATGGTCCTCCTCGTCCACTGACCCTGGTCCACCATCACTCTCTTGTTGACAGTTTGTCCTCCATATGCCGTGTGCATTGAGGAACACATGACCACCTCCCATGTGTCCTTCCATTTAACAAAAAAAAAAAGGCCATCTTTCCTTATCCATCTGATGGTTCACCTTTCAGCTTTTTTGGGCATGTCATTTCCCCATGTCTGTGGAAAGCCCTTCCTTCTCGTTCTGATCGTGGCATATGTAACCGTCTGTAGCCCTGCTAGGTCTTTGAAAAGGTCTGGACTTCTATAAGAATTGTCCACATCCAGGGCCTAGCAGAGCCAAGCCTAACAGGGACATGTGGCCCTTACGTGTGGCCTTTTTCACCTCAAAGAAATTCCATGTGTATCTGGTAATTGATTCAGCCAGAACAAAAAGCTTGAAGCCCCACCTAGTGGGCTTGGCCTTCATATATTGCTTGAGCCCAATATGAGCTTTGGTTGCCAAAATCCTCTCATCAATTGAAAGATGTTGATTTGGATGGTAACATGTCTTGCAGGCAGTGATGAGGTCTATGTAGAGAGGCTTTATTTGGTACAGAGGGTCATACTAATCAGTGGATCATCAATTGGACCAAAAATGATCCCCGGACATCACTGAAGGTGGGAAACTAAAATCGTAACCCAGCTTTTTGACCAGTTATCACTCAGTTCACATGGTCCATGTAAATGATCAGAGACAAATAACCATTAAATTCATTCAAGATGAGAGTTTGCCCAGCCTGATCTCATGAAAATGCGTCTCTATAGCACGCGGTTTTATCGTGCAATTTATACACAAAAATTCGTTTTTACGTGCATATGATACGCAGTTTTCGCGTGCATTTGATACGCACTTTATTGCGTGTAATACACACGCACCCCACACCACTAATCCTACCGAAACGTATAATACACACGACACGCACCTGACACCACTCCTAAACCTACCCATGCGTATCATATGCACGTAAAAACTAATTTTCGCGTATAAATTGCACGATAAACACAATGCGTGCTATAGAGACGCATTTAGTGTGATTGGGTTGGTTTGCCAGTTGTATTTTTGCCCAGAGTTAGACAATTTTTCTGCATGTGCATTTGTATTTGCTATGATCTCCAAGACCACACTTTTGCTGAAGAACAACTGAAATACACTGAAAAAAATAATTCATTGGATTTACTCAATTGAATAGTGGAGATTGGTTGCACACAAATTGTTTGCTTTGGTAGCCACTAACACAATTGTGTTCCATCAACACAGATTATTCACGTTTAAACAACACAGACTATTCATGTTCAATCAACACAAATTATTCATGTTCAATCACACAGACTATTCATGTTCAAACAACACAGACAAACACAGACTATTCACGTTCAATCAACACAAGTACTTTATATTGATATAAAGTTAATGAAATGTGATTATTGCAAATATTCTTTTTACATTAACTTAAATTGTAATTTCTATGTTCTAAATCTATATGTCTTAATAAAATAAATTACAGTTAACCAAGGAAAGTTGAAATCAAGGGCAACTGTTAAGGTTTCTTGAAGGGGGTTTGCTTCTCATCTGAGAGGCTTATTTAGTTCTGACTGAACAACTACCACACTCAAAAAAATGACTCTTTGGTTGAACATGATTTAATCATGGACAGTGGTTCCACGTGATTGATTCAAGTTATTCGAGCACAACTGAATCAGGTTATTTGGACATGATTAAATCAAGTTATTTGGACATGATTAAATCAAGTTATTTGGACGAGTCTAATTTTAATTGAGTTTACTCACTTCGCTTAAGTTCATCCAACATGAAGTTTTTTGGTTGAGACAACATGGTTCCATCATGTGGAACCACTGTCCATGCTTGAATCATGTTCAGCCAAAGAGTTATTTATTTGTGTCTATTTAATAGACACACAGAGTTAAAATAACATACAATCAACCTAAATATAGCTTTTCTTTTAATACATAAGATGTTGGCAGTCTAAAAATGGTACTGATTGCATCACTAGCAAACCCATTGGAGTTGCTTTTAAAGCAACTTGAATTCTTAGCAGGTCCTCCACCGAAGCACATGCTCGACACTTTACCACAATGGTAACTCACCCATAAACACCTACATATAAGAAAGTCGTTTAAAATACCAACATAATAGAATATTAAACATTAACAAGTCTCGCTATTTTTTCATCTTGCTTACATTTTTATTTTTATCAAAGAACACTGGTACAAAGCAATTACGACAGACCAGGAGGGTATTCTTAAGTATTTATTGAGATACAACATTTACTTCAC